GAGAAAATAATAGAGAGTGGTGGGAGGTGATTGTGACCTCCATACCTCTCATCTCTCTGTCCTCTTCACAGAAACTCAGCCATTTCTTTTGCATAGATCTTTCAGGACTCCAGCTCAATTGTTCAGCTAGGACAGGAGGGATTTCCCCTTATGACCCCAATTGTAGCGGTGATGTCGGGGATTTGATACACGTTTTGGAGATGTCCAAAATTATTCAAAAAGTGGAACGATATGACCAGTATTGTAATGTTGGTATTCAATATTCCTCGGGTGTGCCTCTTGGTCTCAATAGAGGAGGAATTATTTACACCTCCTCCTATTACAAGTCATATAGCAATAGTGAGGCTTATGCTGTTACACAGTTAATATTCAGGTTAATGTACATGAGAGTTCATATAGTTTATTCTTTGTACCATTTTCTATGGACATTTCTATAATTAGTAATGCTGCCATCCAGTGGTCTTATTTGGTAATGCATTTGTTTTTTATATTGCCTCCCTGAGATCTATGACACAGTTCCTTTGTATATGAAGCTCCTCCCTTCTTCTTGAGTTCAGCACTTCCTGTGTCATGGATGCAGCTAACAGACCACATGTAACAGGGACACATGTATTCTGCATAGTACGCTACAGAAAGTATCATCTTTTGACCGCATAATACTGGAAACCATTCATTCTGCTGTATCCTGTTGTCACATGTACAGAATAAAGCAACTTCTGGATGAACACAGTATTGGTGAGTTCAGCTATCTGACAAGGATTGCCCACAGTGATTATATCTGCTTATACAGGCTAGGCAGAGAGGTCTCACAAGGGATAAATCGCTATCACAACAAATCTGAGTCAGAATAAGGCTGCTTGACCATAAAAAATATCCCGATCTTGGCTATCATCTCAAACTCCCAGCAGACACCAGTGGATTGAGCCGGTGAACTCCACATTAACATGTGAAAACTAACTTACCAACATTGTAATTCCCCCAGGAGATGTATGTCTGGCAGAACTGGCTGGATACTCCTTGCTCACTCCTAGTTAGTTCTTCATAGGCTTTTAAAATCTTAGCTCTTTTAGCCCCATAGAAGGAGAACGGCCAGTTGTATCCTACTGAATGGTGACTACACTGGGAGACCCATACTTGGGGTATGATCCTGTAGACACAGGCCTCATTGAACGGTGTCAGCTTTCTATGTACAGTTGTGTTCAAAATAATAGCAGTCAGACATCACTAACCGGATCAATCACAGTTTTTGGTAGAAATTATATTTCTACATGGCAAATAATTTCCTAGCAGGTGTAGTAGAGTAATAGAAATCCAACAGACCCAAAAATCATGACATGCATGCTGCTGATTCTGTGTCATTGAATCACTCATTGAAAGGGGCGTGTTCAAAATAATAGCAGTGTGGAGTTCTATTTGTGAGGTCATTCATTCTTTGATAAACAGGTGGCAATTATTGCCCTTATTTAAGGAAGGAAGGCAGCAAATGTTGTACATGCTGGTTACAGTGCATTTCTCTCTCTCTGAAATTCTGAGGAAAATGGGTCGTTCCAGACATTGTTCAGAAGAACGGCGTACCTTGATTAAAAAGTTGATTGGAGAGGGGAAAAACATATAAAGAAGTGCAGAAAATGATCGGCTGCTCAGCTAAAATGATCACAAATGCTTTAAAATGGCAACCAAAACCTGAAAGACGTAGAAGAAAGCGAAAAAACTACCATTGGAATGGATAGAAGAATAGCCAAAATGGGGCGGACTCAGCCAACAATCAGCTCCAGGAAGATGAAAGAAGGTGTGACGTTCCCTGTGAGGACTGTTACAATTAGAAGACGCCGATGTGAAGCCAAGCTATCTGCAAGAAGTCCCCGCAAAGTCCCACTGTTGGAAAAAAGACGTGTGCTGAAGAGGTTACAATCTGCCAAAGAGCACATTGACCGGCCTAAAGAGAAATGGCGCAACATTTTGTGGACTGATGAAAGTAAGATTGTTCTTTTTGGGTCTAGTGGGCGGAGACAGTTTGTCAGACGACCCCCAAACACTGAATTCAAGCCACAGTACACTGTGAAGACAGTGAAGCATGGTGGTGCAAGCATCATGATATGGGGATGTTTCTCATACTACGGTGTTGGGCCTATTTATCGCATACCAGGGATCATGGATCAGTTTGAATCCATCAGAATACTTGAAGAGGTCATGCTGCCTTATGCTGAAGAGGAAATGCCTTTGAAATGGGTGTTCCAACAAGACAACGACCCCAAACACACCTGTAAACGTGCAACATCTTGGATCCAGACCAACAAGATGGACGTTATGGAGTGGCCAGCCCAATCCCCGGATCTTAATCCAATAGAAAACTTGTGGGGTGACATCAAAAATGCCGTTTCTGAGGCAAAACCAAGAAATAGAGAAGAACTGTGGAATGTGGTCCAATCATCCTGGGCTGGAATACCTGATCACAGGGGCCAGAAGTTGGGTGACTCCATGCAACACACAGATGTACAGCAGTTCTCAGAAACAGTGCGACTACAACCAAATATTCATGAAGTCATTCAAAGGAAAGCAAAATCTTCAAACATTTCTCAGTTTATATAGTGAATGTTTTGAGTTTGTAAAGAAGAATACAAACACTGCGATTTTTTTGAACCGTCTAATATTCACTTTTCTTCCATTTTTTTAGAGGAACAACACAAATTTGATGTATTTTCTTCATGTTTGGATTTGGAATAGAATGTGTCGTGTTCCCAATGCATTTGTGTGGATGGAAATAAAAGCTATTAGAAGGATTTTCAGCTTTAGTCACTTTTATCATCACACTGCTATTATTTTGAACACAACTGTATGTACTGGGGGGAGTTACTTGCCGTGTACAGCTGAATTGTTCTAGGTTGTTTCTTCTTTTCTCTGTTCATTTGTTTATAAAAAGGTAAAAGTGACACCATAGACAAAGCAAGTTATTGTTCTGTATGATCTGTAACAGTGCCACAACTGCCTATACGTGAGAATGTATGACTCCATTGTCTGGGCTGAATGTTGGGAATACTGTGCACACTTAGAAACTTTCTTAATAAAAGCATTTGATTAAAAAATACTGTAGATAATGCTGTACATATTCTTTCTATTCATAAGATATATTTAGTAATGAACATTAAAAATAGAAAGCAACTTTATGTAGCCCTTTTTTATTATTATTATTATTATTATTATTATTTTTATTATACAGTATTTATAAAGCGCCGATAGTTCACTCAGCGCTGTACATTACAAAGGGGGACAGAACATGTGACAGAACAATACCAATACAATGCAAAACATGAGGGGATTGAGGGCCCTGCTCTTTCGAGCTTACAATTTAGAAGGGACGGGATAGTGGTACAGGAGGAGATAGCTGTGGAGGATGGAGTGGTAGGAAGAGTGGAGGAGGTCGGTCAAGATAGCAGGGGGTAGGCTTCCATGAAGAGATGGGTTTTCAGGGTGCGCCTAAAGGAGAGGAGAGTAGTGATAATCTGATGGGTTGGGGAAGTGAGTTCCAGAGGATGGGTGACACCCTGGAGAAGTCCTGGAGGCGGGCATGGGAGGAGGAGACCAGGGAACTAGAGAGAAGAAGGTCTTGTGAGGGAGCGGAGTGTGCGTGTTGGGCGGGCGGTACTTGGATATTAGGTCAGTGATGTAGTTCGGGGCAGTATGGTGGACAGCTTTGTACGTCAGTGTTTAGGATTTTAAATTTGATCCGTTGCGCAATCGGAAGCCAGTGGAGGGATTGGCAGAGGGGGGTGTGGAGGTCAGTGGAGGGATTGGCAGAGGGGGGTGGCGGAAACGGAGCGGTTGGAAAGGTGAATGAGTCTGGCAGCCGTATATTCAGGATCGACTGAAGCGGGGATAGCCAGCGGCGAGGCAGGCCAGTGAGGAGGGAGTTGCAGTAGTCAAGTCGTGATATGATGAGGGAGTGGATGAGCTGTTTAGTGGTTTCTGGGGTTAGGAACGTGTGGATTTTGGCAATGTTGTGGAGGTGGAGTCTGCATGTTGCGGAGGTGGAGTCTGATGTTGCGGAGGTGGAGTCTGCACGAGTTTGTTAAAGATTGGACTTGGGGCTGGAAGGATAGGTTGGAGTCCAGAATGACACCAAGTACTCTGGCCTGCAGGGCGGGTTTGATATTGGCGTTGTTGGATGTGATGGAGAAGTCAATGGGGGGTGGGGTTTCGGGCTGGGGGAAAGACAAGAAACTCGGTTTTGGAGAGATTCAGTTTAAGGAAGTGGAGCGACATCCAATCTGATATGTCGCTCAGTAGGTGTGTGATTCGGGCAGAGACCGAGGGGGTGAGGTGGGGGGTTGAGAGATAGATTTGTGTGTCGTCGGCATAGAGGTGGTAGTTGAAGCCGTGAGAGTGTATGAGTTGGCCAAGGGAGGAGGTGTAGATGGAGAAGAGAAGGGGCCCAAGGACAGAGCCTTGAGGGACCCCAACAGAGAGGGGGAGTGAGGGGGGGGAGGGTGGTAGCATTATAGGTAACGCTGAAAGAGCGTTGTGACAGGTAGGATAAGAGCCAGGAGAGAGCAGAATCTCTGAGGTCGAGGGAGTGTAGTATTTTGAGGAGGAGGGGGTGGTCAACTGTGTCGAAGGCCGCAGAGAGGTCAAGGAGTAGGAGCACTGAATAGTGGCCATTAGCTTTATATAAAATTCTTTTTTTTTTTTTTTGTACAGGTGGATTGATGAACCAAGTTTTCGGTCATGTTGATCTTCATAAATACAGCTGAGTCACATGGAAAACAAGACATATGGATGTCTTAATTGACTGAAAGTCTTTATTGCAGTTCACTGGAGGATTCACACGGGATACAAGTCATATCTGTGTTCTAAAAGTCATGCTTTGGATCCTCTTCCACATTGATCCAGCAGGAGAAAAGTAATTTCAGTGTTCTGGAAGTGACAATGGCTTTACAATAAAGTCCAACTAAGTATAAATAAGAGGAGTCATTTCAAACTACTTCTTATTTGGAGATTTTACAATGGAGAGAAAATATATTACACACCAGAAGGTTCACAAGGGGAGAGAAGTCATATCGGTGTTCTGAATGTGATAAAGCTTTTACACGGAAGTCAGATCTTATCAGACACCAGAGGATTCATACTGGAGAGAAGCCATATCAGTGTTCTGATTGTGATAAAGCTTTTACACAGAAGTCACATCTTACCAGACACCAGAAGATTCACACTGGAGAGAAGCCATATCAGTGTCCTGAATGTGATAAAGCTTTTATAAAGAAGTCAAATTTTTTCAGACATAAGAGGATTCACACTGGAGAGAAGTCATATCAGTGTTCTGAATGTGATAAAGCTTTTACATTGAAGTCACATCTTATCCCACACCAGAGGATTCACACTGGAGAGAAGTCATATCAGTGTTCTGAATGTGATAAAGCTTTTA